CATTCTTCCTTTTTCATGAAGGGTAGCACCTGTTTGAAGCTGAGTCCTTTTATTATCCCTTTTATTATCCTAGAATTTTGGGAGTCTGACAGTCTTCTCTCATACCCTCTCTGTCCCGTTTAGGTCAAGCTTGCAGTGTTTCTGTGGGTATGGCGTTTTCAAAAACCTTGTGGATCTCCTGTTATTTCATGCATATTCAGTCCATTAGACAGGAGGCTCCTCTACAGGAATTTCCTAGATAAACTCATCTCTATTTTTTACTTCTCCTTAAATGGTTGAGGGAATCTATGAATCACATCCCTAATCTATTCAAATAGCTCTCTGTATGACTAAATATTTTGTGAACTTTCATCAATTCAATTATGTCTGCCACCATATCAAAATTATCTCCTTTTCTCTCATTTTTGATAACATGTACCTTATTTCCTTCTAAATCCTCACCATCAGCACCTTTAAACTCCATACTTCTATCAACAGTATGCTTATGATTACTTAAATATTCCCTAAGATGCTATCAGCTTACTATAGCATGACATTCAAAATTCTTCAACCTTCTAGTCATTACCCAAGCTGAAAGCCACTTCCACATATTTAGGAATTTGTTACAGCAGCACCACACTTCCAAGTACCAAAATCTGCATTAGTTTCCTCTTGCTGCTATAACAAAATACCATAAACTTAGTGGCTTAAAACAACTCAAAAGCATTCTCTTAGAGTTCTGGGGGCCAGAAGTCCAAAATGAGTTTGACTGGCTAACACCAAGTTAATGTGTTAACAGGGCTGCTTCTGGAGTCACTGGAAGAGATCCATGTCCTTGGACTTTTCAGCTTTTAAATGTCATCCAATTCCTTGGTTTGTGACTCCTTTCTCTATCATTAGAATGCATTACTCCAATCTCTGCTTTCATCATCGCATAATCTTTTCTCCAGCTCTGACTCCTCCTACACCCCTCTTATAAAGGCCCTTTGTGATTATATCAGGCCCACGTGAAATAAGCTGGAATCTCATAATAACACCTATCTCAAAATCCTTAACTTTATCACATCCCTTTTGCCATATAAAGTAACATTCACAGGGTCTGGGAATTGGGATATGAATATCTTGGGAGAGAGGAATTGTTCAGCCTACTAGAGGCCTCAAGTTCTAAAAGATTCTTTAGAGAGTAAAAAAAAGGCAGGAGAAGCCTCTACTCTTCAATAGAAAGGAAGAGGAAAATATTCTTTCATGTCTCCTCTGTACTAAGGTATCATAATCTGGGAAAGGTACATAGGATAAGAGGTGAAAAGGAATTGTAAAAGCTAGAAGAGTTGAGAGAAGTTTGAATACTGTTTGGAGTGAAATTTTCGTGGCCATATCTTTGAAGACCTATGCGGGGGGCATACATTTTGGATTGGAAATGCCTTCCTTATTTGCAAATTACTATGCTGGACATTGAATTAGGCTTTTCTAGTTTCTACAATAGAATTATGGTGGGAAATCAAAGTATAAATAGAATATCAACAGGTATATATGGAGAAGGGAGGATAGTATAGGCAAAGGGAAAAACATATGCTAAGACTATTTTACATATACAGAATGTGGATTATATGTTTAGGAAATGACGAATTTGGTGCAGCTAAAATATAAGTACATGTACAAATTCTCCAATATTGCTGTCCCATCTTTAATATACAAAATCTCAGGAAGCATACATCCATTTTCTAGTGGCTCCAAACTGCAGAAGGTGTTCTGCCTTCTATGGGAAAACTGATTTCCTGACCAGCAATCTATCTTCTAGCTCTCTCTAAAGCTGTATTAACTGGGGGGGATCTAAAGGGGGCAGAATTCCTTTCATTGTTATGCAAAGGATATGTTGTATTTTAGTCCTCAAAGTATAGAAGCCAAGTTTTATTTCTGGAAGAAATTGGGAAAAGTTCTGTGTTTCACTTTTTCTTGAGCTTAGGCTCAGGCTTAGGCTTTTAGAAACAGGATTGCTTGAGTCTCGGTGTCTCATAAGGACCCCTTGGGAAAATCTCCTTCAGCATCTGCCCACATAGCACCTCTTCATAAAACTTATAACTAGCCTATGAGGCCAGTTTCCTTCATTTTCCCTTTATCTTCTCCCAAATGATCATTCATTCAACAGATGTTCACAAGGTACTGATCATGTACTACTAAGGCCATAAGACTAATGAGCAAATTATGATCTTTCTTGTCATGGAGATTATATTTCACATACCATATACTTGAACAGAAACTTCCTCCTAGAGAAATTTTTCAACCCAAAATTATCTCATGAAAATACATGCTGCTAGGGGCTACCTACAAATAGGTCAGCCACAACCAATCTTAAATCCCTTAAACTTATTAGGGATTCCTGCTAAATAGAACATCTGTAGAAGAATAGGGCAAATAAGACTAGAAATGTGGGTTGGGGGGAGATTGTCAAGGAGCATGAGTATTGAGCTAATGAGTAGGAGCTTTGCTTATAAGGCTATGGGAGGTGTGGAGATTTTCAGAAGGAAAGCTAATATTTAAGGAGGTTACCTTTACAGCTTTAGGTGGTGGATATTAGATGCTAAAGCTAAGGATCTCCTACATTACCTTGTGAGTAATACTAGCTTTTGAAGGGCTCAAAAGAAGCTGCCATTACCTTCCTACCTTATTGAGAGCAAATCAATGTCTATTAGTAGGGAGTTATTTATTTAGGGGTGTATTTTCAAGTGCAATGGAAAGTATTTGCTATCTACACAGCATTGCCATAGATAAAAATGCTTTCTTGGAAGATGTTCTCTTTCAAATGCAAGAAAAACTTTCCCGCTAATATTTCAAATTATAAAAAAATCACATTGTTAAAGACCAAATAAATAATACTTTACTGCATTTATTATGGTTAGAGTAGAGATTTAACACTATATTCTAGAATGACAAAAATTGTTTTTTCCTATGCCCTTCATCAACAAGGAATATCTGAAAATTCGTTGTAAGATTTTTGATAGGTTCCAATAGCTTTTTTACATGTTTACGATCAGCTTTAATATTTATTTTTACTGTATATTATGAATAATATTTTTAAAATTTTAGTTCTACTGTATAACTGAAAAATGAAATTGTGAGATATTTAAAGTGTATATCGTGGTGATTTGATATATGTACGTATTGTGAAAGGATTCCCCCATCTTGCTAATTAACACATTCATCACTGCAAATATTTACCCCTTTTTTGGTGAGAACATTTACGTTCTACTTTCTTAGCAAATTTCATTTATACAACACAGTGTTATCAACTATAGTCACCATGTTTTACATGAAATCCTCAGACCTTATTCATCTTATAGCTGAAAGTTTGTACCCTTTTACCAACCTCTCCCTATGTCTCTCAACCCCCAGCCCCTGGCAACCAATGTTCTATGTTTTATTTCTATGAGTTATATATTTTTTTTTAGATTCCACAGATAAGTGAAAGCATGCAGTATTTATCTTTCTTTGACTTATTTCACTTAGCTTAATGCCCTCAAGATCTGTCCATGTTGTCTCAAATGGCAGGATTTTCTTTTTTCTCAAGGCCAAATAATGATCCATCTTCTTTATTCATTCATCAATGGATGGACAATTAGGTTGTTTCCATATCTTGGCTGTTGTGAATAATACTGCATAGACCACGGGAGTACAGATATCTCTTTGATACCCTGCGTTCATTTCCTTTGGATATATACTGAGAAGCAGGGTTGCTGGATCATACGGTAGGTCTATTTTTAATTTTTCAGGAACCTCCATACTGTTTGCATAATGGCTGCATCAGTTTATGTTTCTACCAACAGTGCGCAAGGGTTCCCTTTTCTCCATATCCTCGCCAACACTTGTTATTTCTTGTCTGTTTGATAACAGCCATTCTAGTCACTTGTATGTAACAAGTTGCTTTTCTTTTGCTGCTTTTAAGATTCTTTGTCTTTAGTTTTGTTCTTTTTCTTTCTTTCCTTTTTAACTTAACCACTAGGCCACCAGGGCTGGCCCTGTCTTTAACTTTTGACAGTTTAATTATAATGTGTCTTGGTATTGATCTCTTTAGATTCACCTTTTTGGGAACTCCCTGGGCTTCCTGGATCTGCATGTCTGTTTCTTTCCCCAGGTTGGGGAAATTTTCAGTCATTATTCCTTTAAATAAGCTTTCTGCCCCTTACTCTCCCTCTTCTCCTTCTGGGACCCCTGTAATGCAAATATTTGTTTACTTGATAGTGTCCTATAAGTCCTTTAAGATATTTTCACTCTTTTTCATTCTTTTTTCTTTTTGTTCCTCGATCAGATGAATTCCGCTCCCCTGCTTCTTTGTTTGCTACAGTTCTGTGGGATCCATGAACACAAGCCCCACTGGCCACCAGAGTCAGGTGATCAACAGGTGCACCCTCACGGTTGCGCCATGTAAACCACGGTGCCAGCCATGTGCACAAGCTTCTTCCTGGGAGACACTGGTGACCTGGAGCAGGTCAGAGGGATAACATGTAGATGGCACCCCTGGCCTCCCGGGTTTCCAAGAAAGATCAGTCAGTCCCTACATGTGTGCTAAGTTAGAAGCTTGACCTTCAGGCAGCAGCTTTTAAAGTATGTAAATAAGCCTCTCTCAGGGAAAGACTGGGAGTTGGACCTGTCTGTCTGCAGCCTCTGTGCTGAGCCCTAGGGAGATAACTACAGTAAGTCCTCACTAGCTGTTAAGAACTCTTTGTTTGTGGTAGTCTTGTGGGTCTTGTGGATGTATGCCCCATTGGTTTTCAGAGTTAGTGTTTTAGGGATCTTCTCTTGGGCAAAAGTCTTAGAAAATGGGGCACATGATGTTGGGTCCAAACCTTTTGCCCCTCAGGAAGCATCTGGGAGTTGTGAATTTCCTCCTGATTGTATGTTACTGTGGTGGGGTTGGGGTTTATGGCCAGAGGGTGTCTTGGCCTTTCCTACCCATTTCGTTTTGAGTAGTTTCTTGCTTGCCCAGTATGTAGAAGTCACTCAGCTAGTTTCTGGATTTCTTTCAGAGGGAATTGCTCCACGTGTAGCTGTAGATTTGGCGTGTCCATGATAGGAGGTGAGTTCAGGAGCATCCGATATCATCATTTTGAACTGGAATGCCCAATAATATTTAATGCAAGTAATTAATTGTCTGCTCATTTTCCATTTTGTAATGTTTTATCTGTTTTGCTGTTCTTTTGCATTGAATGCTTTTTAAAATAATTATCCACTTTTTAAAACAGAATCTAAATTTCAAGCAGAATTTAAAACTTTTTACAACAGAATCCTCATTTATAGAAGCATACATCATAATGATATATGAATAAATTGACAATAAAAAGATGTACAGTTTTAAAATTAATTAATTCATCTTTTGTTTTACAAAGTAATATGAATATACATTTTAAAAAATTAAGGATAAATTGAAAATACATTTTGTATTTTAGAATATATAGTATTTGAACAAAAAATTGACAGAGAAATATATAGAGCATCCTGTTTTAGCCTAGGTTCTACAGAAAGCAGATCCTGAGGTAAAGAACTTATCTGAGATGATATTATTGGGAAATACAATACCAGGGAGCTGGAGCAAGGGAAATGGTGAAGGAAACAGAGAAAAATAAAAAGCCAATTACTAGGACACACCACTGATTTGCCTGCTTAAAAATGCAATTGACTGCTGGTATCCCAGCCACCAATAGGCTGCATAAACTTTGTCCCAGGACAGTCTATATTGGGGATGGTGAGGGAGGAGAATTACTCACTAGTTCTTGTTTCCCATTTGTCACTGTTTCACTGAAGACTGCGTAATTCTCAATTGTGCTTCATAAGTACTTAGCTGGGTCCAGTTGCTTCCCAAGCCTTTCAACTAACAGGGGAATCTTGGGAGCAGGGAACAAGAGATATATGGCACAGGTACAAGGAATGGGGCTATCATAAATCATGCAAAGCTGGTACCCATAGCAAAGGGTACACACAAGGACAAATGAGGCCAAGAAGCTTTAAAACAGCACATAAAAGGTATCTTTTACAGGTCTCAAAAGTACAAATATTGATTGTGGAGTTTGTTTCTAATTATGCAATAAAAATGTATGAATAATATTTTGGTGACATTTCACACGTAGCACACTCGAAATATGTTTACTTAAATATTTACATCTCTTCGCTATTGCCAAAAATCCGAGAGACATTTGGCTTGTCCAAAAATTGATCATTAATCTTTTTACTACCACTTTTGCTGCTGAATAGAGATAATTAATGTTTGTGATGAATTATACAGAAGTACTAGCTGACAGATTTCTGGAATTCGTATCTTTTTCATTTAGATGTCTAGCACCAAACTGTCTTGACATCCACATAAAGATTGAGGAAATGGTCTGAGAAAATTTGTTTAACTGGAAGTACGATGGGATTTAATCCCAGTAGTTGGGTGGGTGGGTGTTTATGCAAATACACCCACCCAAAAAAGCTGTTGATATTTAAATTAATGCCCATATTCGCCTCTATCTTTCCCCTACAAAACATTACATACTTTTTGCTGATTATTCAGAACTGAAAATACTTCAGCTTTGGAAACAAGATTTCTACTTAAAGCTTTTACTTTGTAAACCTTTCAAAGCAGCTTTTTTTCAAAAATACTTCAACAGACCTGCAGATGGTGGACATTTAAACATTTTGGTAGATACCACACGTGACTTTTTCAGTGGGAAAATCTTATGACAGTGTAACTCATTTTACATGTAGCATGTATGAATGTATTCTATAAAACCTATGTGTGAGAAACACCACATTTACTCAATGATGATCCAATACTACTCACACTGGTGTTCCTCAAGCTAAGTTGGTGTCAGGATAATGGGAAAATGCATGGTCCTTTCACTATTTCCATCGCCATAATTAGCTCTGCTCCTTCTGCTGTATGGTGCTGCTCAGCCCAGAGGCACAGTTACTGGAACTCACAAGGAGTGATTCTGAAAAGCCATCCCACAGGTGCATTGATCTGACCCTCTTCCAGTTATCCAGCTGGTTCTCTCTGTGGAAATAGAGTGTGACTTCTTGTCCCCACTTTTGATAAAATTGAAACTCCAAAGTGAGAATTTTTTGAACCAAAGGCGCATTGTTCAGCATCAAAGAAGTGGGTAATCACCAAAGAGAATATAGACCATGGCCACTGACACAGAAAACTCATAGTAGAAAAACAAAGACTTTCACACAGTCATCACAGACACAACACATCACAGACAGCCATTAATGTCAAGGCTTATAGAAGAAAAACAGAGCCTCTCATAGAAATTATATTTCTCCTTCAGAATAAAATCTGAGATATTGGCTTAATAGACTAATTTATAAGCTGACCTTACCACTATATCGAAAGTCATAGAGATTACAGAAATTGCCCAAGCTTACACATCTAAATGATTAGTAGAATAAAGATTTAGCCCAGAACATTTTTACTGGAAAAAGTATATCCTTTCCATTTGTGGAAGAGGGGATGTTTTCTTAGTCCTCAAATTAATGCTGCATCCTTGGGAGTATTAAAGTTTGAGAGGCAGGGTGGGGTTTAGGGGAATCTAACCTCTACAGCTAAGGTTAAATTGTAAATAGATAATCTTATTTTCATTGACTTCTGGGATTCCTCCAGTATTGAGAGGGAATAAACCTTTCACCTTTTTTATGTGATGATGAGTTCCTAGTGTATCAAATATGGTTCAGTGAAATAAGGATATAAAAATATGAGGAAAACGCAAAGATCTGAGAAAAGAACCATGGGAGTGGCTTATCAAAGGTGTAAAATGGATTGCAAAAAGGTATTATCTTTCTGATTAGTCACTATGATTTAGCGAGTTACCTTTATAGTCAAAAGACAACATGAAAAAAATTCTAATTAAAAAATTTCCTACCCCATGATTTTAACTTTTTAAAAATTTAACTGAAAATAGCAGAACTTGAATTGAATCAATCCCGCATATTTGAGCTGTTCAATTTGGTTTTGTTCACTTGCAGTTTCCATCTGGGATCGAAATATATGCTGCCAAAGTAAGCCTAGGAAGGCGGCTTGTATGGGTTTCCCATCTGGGAGCTCTGATACCAGGCCAGCAATCTCCTGGGAGACCTTCCATTGGGTCACAGCCAGACCTCGGGTTGCTAATTTCAGTATTTATTGTTAGCGTGAAACCAACAAGACGTTAAGTGAGGTGTAGAACATCCACATGGCCTTCTCTAGTGGGTGGGCAATGATGATTTAGGGCCAAGCTCTTCGCATCAGGTATTTGATGCTGGATTTTGCCATTTATCATGTGTTTGACATTCTGAAAATTGCTTAATTCCTCTAAGCCTCAAATGTATCATATGTGGTTACTGTATGGATTATGGGAGGAAATATAAATAAAGCATTTATCACAATACCTGTTACCTAATAGAGCTTAATAAATATTTACAAACTAAATCTAACTTATAACGTCAATGGATTAAATAATCTGTCATCATTTATCATTCCTAAATGTGTTGCTTAAATAATATTGTAGAAATAACATAAATAAAAAGTGAAAAAAAAATCAACCCAAATTTCACTCACAACTTTAAAAATCAGGCACAAACTCTTCTTTTCTTTCTTGCCCTTAAGTATTAGTGCATGTGCTAACAATGTTTACATAGTGAAATCACACTATAGATACAGTTTCAAGAGCCAATAAAATTTCAGCTCCCCAAGGAAAAGATAGTCTCTATATTGTTCACTGCTGTATACTCACTGTGTAATACATATTTATTGAATTGAATTGAATATGAATTTTAGCATAGTCTTCATAATGATTATTTTTAATAAGTGGAGTATAATTTACCTAACCTAAATTCAATGTTCCTGTAACCATAGTTTCTGGTTTTCAGAAGATAGTCCTAATTTATGACTGTCATAGATCAATAAATGCTGTTATTTATTTTTAGTGCTATCTTTCCCTCTAAATAGTGTCCCAATTTAAATGAATTATATAATTTTGGCAACCAAATTCTTGATTTTATAAATAATACTGTGATGGACATCTTTTTATACACAGTTTTTACTTTTCTGATGTTATTTCTGTAGGAGGAATTGACAAACTTAATATTTGGTCAAGTAGGGATATTTCAAAATAAGCTGTAAATGCTTCCATTTTCGTGTGATTGTGTCTTTTAGGAAAGAAAAATGATACTCTATTCATTTTCTTATAATTTCTTATACAGTTATGTTAATTCCTGAAAGTTCAAATGGATTTAATTATATTGTCACTGTTATTTCTCTACCAATGGATTTCAGGATCCATTAAAAAATAAGACAAAAATCTTGTCTATTCTCTATAAACTTTTGAGTATTTTATAAGTGATTTTCAAATCATGGTTTGATTGATCAATTCATTCACTAAATCTCTTAGGTATTAGCTGTTCCAAGCATTTCCTTATTTTTCTAAATAAAATTAAAATTTCCTGTATACTCCCAACTCATTATCAATTTTTGATGGACTCCTTTCCCTTTCTAGCACTCACATGGTCCTAACAAATGGGTACATGTGGAGAAGTCTTAAGAGTCTGGTTACTTCCATCAGTATCATTTTTTTCCTTTGGTTTCTCAAGCATTGTATTGTCAATGATGATGTTCATGGTTAACATCTTCGTGAAGCACAGAGATCCTCAACTTTCCCCCAGTGCTGACATCCTTTGTGCATGGCCTCTAAAGGAATCCACATGGCTATTTTCTTTCAGTTTCCAGGGAGACTACACCAAGGCAGTTTCCAGGGTTACTCTCTGTCTTAGTCAGCTCAGTCTGCTATAACAGATTACCGTCATCTGCATAGCATAAACAGTAAACATTTATTTGTCACAGTTCTGGAAGCTGGGAAGCCCATGATCAAGGTGCTGGTAGATCCAGTGTCTGGTGAGGGCAGCTTCCTGGTTTGCACAGTGCCATATGCTCATCTGGTGGAGAGCAGGGAGAGAGGAAGCAAACTCTACTGTCCCTTCTTAAGTGAGCACTAATCGCATTCATGAGATCTCCAGCCTCCTGACCTCATTACTCCCCAAAGGCCCCACCTCCTAATACTATCACATTAGGGGTTAGGGTTTCAACATACGAATTGGGGGTGGGGGGCACAAGCATTCAGTCCATAACACTCACCTCTTATACAGTCCCCAGGGCTTCCTTGTGGATAATTTGA